AAGCAAAGGTAAATTGTTGAAATCATAGTGGCTTGATTATCCGTTTGCCAAGGAGCAAGATTTTGATGACCAATTAATTATCAATTTAGTGCAGAGGGAAAGTACATTACTCAAACCTGAAGTAGTAGTTTGACAAAAGATGTAAATACCAAGCGATGGGATCAGTTAGGAGCCAAACAAAACCATAGTATACTTAAGTAGAGCAAATTATTTAAGTTAGGAATCAAACAGCTCTAGAGCTCACTGGTTTCCCCTTACGGAAAACATTCAACGTTTGAGTTTGTTTAAAATATACCAGAAAAATGTTTTTATAGAGGGTCATATGATGGACTTTTTCTTGTATCCTGGCAACCTCATAATGAAAAAAACCCACAGCTCCATACTTCCAGTAGATTCTATAGTAGGTCCTATAATGCAGGACTCAACCCTTTTCACCTCACAAACCGGTGTTTCACGGACCAATAGTAGAACTCACTGGGTAAGGGAAAAAAAGCTGGGGAAATGTGTCAAGAGGGACAGGCACATGTAATTGGAAGAGAATCTCCCATATATTTATATATATATATATATATATATATATATATATATATATATATATATATATATATATATATTTTGAAATTCAAGGATTACCACTGGAGTGAAATGGTGTCTGGCAAACAGCGGCGGACAAGTGTTCCCTCAGAAGAGAGTGGGACTCGCTGATTTTCTCTTGTATCCCTTCGGTATGAAGCCTCACACACCGGCCTAATCGGTAAGCATCGAGTGCTGCGTGCAGGTTTCAAAGAGGGTTTCCTCTCTGACATTCTGGGGGAACGTAACGATAGCATACGGCTGTTTAAAAACCTCATGCATATGGATGCGTTGTGAAATTTAAATTCCAGCCTGTCTAAAACCCTCTCCTCCTCTTCTCTTGCTGTGGTGTATTTCTCATGACGGAGCAGCCCAGACATTTTTCCTTTTCACACTCATTCCTTGTGACAAAATTGGTCGTGGGTTTCATTCTAACTGGATGCCGAAGTTGATTCTTAATTCAAACAGCACAGTATGACGTGCCAGCGATGCCCTCGTAAGAAGGCGCTGTTGCTCTGCGTCCGCTCTCCGCCACGAGGACCAATCAGAGCGGCCGATCTCCCCCCGGGGTCATTTGTCGCTGTTGAGACATGCGATCGGGCCCCTGGTCCCAGGGGAGACACAAAGAGCTCGCAGGGGTCAAATGGCAAGGATTTGGATTTGATCAAGAAATGTGTGTGGGGGGGGTGAAAGTGTAAGTGGAAATCTGAGAGTGGGGGCTGGAGTGGCCTCGGTCATCGTCTCGGTCATCGTCCGGGAAATGTGGCGGCATGCGGAGAAATGAGAGGGAGAGGAAGAACTGACAGAATGCAAATAACTCGCAGGTGTCGGAATGAAAATGAAATGAATGGCAGATGAGGCGCCTCTGCTCGCCTTATAGAGATACAGTGACAGAAGTGACCCAAATTGTCTAAAGCACTGCTGCAAATTGCTGCGAGTGAAACCCCCCCCCCCTCTCCGCTGTATCTCTGAGTCTCTTTTCTCCCCCCCCCCTTTCAACGTCAATCTGTTTCATCTTTCCTTTCGCCGCCTCTCACCCTCGACACCGGAATGGTTTTCCAATTGAAACCTCACAAAACACCATTTTTCATACCACGTTTTTTTCCCTTCTCCTTTCTGCATATGAGGTGTTACCGTAGCAACGGTACAAAAATTCTTCCGCGTGCTGGCTCGGGGCGATTGTGTGAATTTGGCATGACATGCTAAACTTTGGATGGGAGGTGGACGCGCTACGCACGTGTGTTGATTCCCGCGGAGCCGCAACACCTGGTCCGACCCGAGCCCACTCCTCGCCACCATACTCATCCCAAGGATGAGAGCTGCTCCCCTTTGACCCCGAGTCCCAACCCCGTTGTTTATCTCGCAGATCAATACGCTCCTCGGCAAGCTGCTCGTGTCGCCGGCTTCCCGATGTCTCTTTCATTGATTCCTCGCTGCCGTTGTTCCTCCTCATTTAACCACGTTTATCAGTCTGTCGCCCAGATGAATAATGGATGGTGGCGCCCGTTGCCTCGGCGACACGTCAGGCTCATCATTGCCGCCGTGCGCTTGCTCGCATGAAAAAGGGAAATAAACCAGGTCGACTCCACCACCTGCCCCCGCCCCCCTTCCCTCCCTCCCTCCCTCCCCTCCGCCCCGACTCCACCCCTGCCACTTCTACATGACAAGCCGACCTGACGCGCTGATGAAGACTGAGAGCCGGGCCACGAGGGAAGGTCACGTAGAAACGCACACACACATGTCCACTTCTATTGATTCACACCAGGGACGTGGTTATGTGGCCGTCCATCCAGCCGTCCAATCCAATGGCACACGGGAGCTATAAACTTTGTGCGAAAGACAAGGACACGGCCGTACCTGCTCACAGACAATAAACACAAACACATCGTATAACCGTAAAGCTTCCACAACGAGGGGGGAGGGGAACGTTGCCATTGGCAAATCCATAGAAATCTCAAATGATAAAGCCCACGTACATGCAGCTCCACTTCAATTTCATCTAATCTGCCTCTTTGACGATGCTCCTTCCTCGCCACCGGTTGGAAGCGATAATTGAGGCCAATCACTGGGGAAGATTGAGTTTTCTCTGCCACGAAAGAATGATACTTTATTGATCCCCGTGGAGAAATTCTCTTTGGCTCTTGTCTCGCGGGAGATGGAGGTCAGAGGTCAGGCTCAGCCACAGCACCCGGGGGTTGGGCGCGGTTTACAGTCTTTAGCTAGCGGGATGTTTGTCAGTGCGGGAATTTGACGCCGGATTATTCCAGCTAATCAGTCTTGGTCCGGTCGTGAGGTGACTTCTCGGCTGTGAGGAGGAGGAGTTAAAAAGGGAGGAGGAGGAGGAGGAGGAGTTAAAAAGGGAGGTCATGGAACTTTTTTTTTGTACCAGTCTGAAACCTTTTTTTGGAGAATGCATTATAAAAAATTCATTGAACACATTCATATTTATTTTAACCCTGTAGCGCCTCTTGGCATTTGAAGGGAGAGGTGGCTATATGTGTTCTGTCTTGTGTGTGAATGCCAAGACATTATACTTTGTGTTGTGTGTGTGTGTGTTGATGAGGAGTCTGTCTGTGGCTCTCTGCTCTTTACGGCCAGTAATGGCCCCTCTTTCCCAGCTTTGGTTTCCTTCTAAGTGCATCGCTGACAGCGCTGACCTTGCTAACAGTTCAGGATCCGGCGGCGCACCAGCAGAATGCAGACGATGGATTCGTGCATGCTGTGTCCAGGTCGCTCCCATGTTTGAACTAGGGCTGCGACTAGCGATGGACGCCGAGTCCATCTGTGGCGACGGTGTGTTGGGCATCGGTAGATTGCAGGAGCTGAGCTCAGGTACTGGTGCCAAAAGGATTCTCGTTGTTAGTGTCCTGCCACTGTCTTCTTCCACAGCGTGCGCACAACAGCATCAACCGTGTCATTGGGGCACCGTCGTTGTCATGGTTACAGTGTAGCAAAACACTCATTTAGAGCCGAACCGCCATCTCGCCTTTACACCCCTCGCGTTGTTCCATGTTGCAGTGGTCCCGGAGGAACGACGCGTCTCGTCTGGAGGCCGAAATCGGTGTTTCTGTTAGTGACTGATTTATTCATGTTTTTGGGGGTTTACCCGCTGTAGAATACCTGCATTTATTCTTCATGGATCAGTCTTCATTGGCACCTGCTTGATGATACTAAGAGTCCCCTGTTTGCATTCACACCTGAACATTATCAGTCCTATCCGTATCGAGCCCCTCCAAAGCGCAGTGCCAAGCGGGTCACTCATTTTCCTTTCTGTAATTGCAACTAGAAAACAGCAATTTAGGCGGCATATTTTCATTAGTCCTTTTTTACATGCAGCACACAGCGTTGTCCGACTGCGCTCTTTTACCAAAGGGAACTAGAATTATTTACTCTAATGGGGGCAAAAAGGAATAGCACGGGAGACGTCTTGTTTGAGGGAATCACTCGGGCACGTGCCGTCTGATTAGGCATATAAATAATTCATAGGCGTTTCATTTATGGGCTGCGACGCAAAAAGGCGGTTTCGCTCGCCAATTAGTATTCCCTCTCTGCCCTCCACCCGAGAGGATCCAGCTCCAACGCCAAGTGATGGCCCGAGAGAGGAGGAAAAGAGTGTGTTACTCTAAATGCAAATGAAAGGGTCCCACTGTGTAATACTTGTAATTGTCAGCTTTGGAAGCCGATCAGGTAAATACGATGTCATTGCGATTGTGTGTCGATCGGTCGCGCTGCAGACAAACAGAGGTGAAGGCAACTGTAATTCTGTTTTTTCCGGGTTATTGATGTTGAGTGCGAGGGCGTTGCTCTTTGAAGGCCTGTGATGGAGCAGAAGTCAACGCTTCAGACATGCGGCTCATTAAGTAACCGAGAGCTTTTATTCGCAAGAGACGTATTAAGGAGGAACCGCTTCCTGTCTTGGCGCAGTTCCTCATCTGTGAGCAGCGGCGAATCCCCGTGGCCGTGGCATCTTTCTCCACATTAACTAATGGTTAACACAATGAAGGGTGATAATCAGCTGTCTAGATCATCAGCTCTCTTGTGTCTCCTCCGAGTTTCCTCACGTCTCCCCTCTAGATGGTTATTTCAACATTTCTGATCGGTGTCAACAGAATATCCGACATTACCAAAGCAAATGTTGACCAGCGGCTTAAGGGAATATTTACCGCCTGGCGTTCAGTCGACTTAAATATATCAACAATGTTTTTTGCTGTAGAATTTGCCTGTATCCTGAGGCTTCATGACACCAAATAATACACGCAGAGAGACGAAATGAGACAAGAACTAGAAATCCTTTAAGGTTTAAGGTGCGTGTTTGAGTCTGAGCCGTCACACCGACACATCACAGACAAACTCTCAAACTGTGAATACAACATCAGCTCTTTGGAGTTGAATGAACCCCCGACTGCAAAATCACTCCAGTGCTCATATTTGTGTTCATAACTGTTTTTTATTCAAACCTGGGACACATGAATGGCTTCTTATACCAATTCAAATATCTTTTAAGGTTCAGATCAAGACAATATCTAAAGGATTGAGAACAAGCAGCACGAACTTTTCACCTTTTGACACTCGTGCACCTTCATGTCCTCTACGGCAGCGGACGGTAAGCTGCTGTTGGGAATGGGCCACATTCAGAGGGCAGCTACCTGCCCGTAATGACGGCTCGCCGCAGGTCTCCTGCCACTTTTCTCAGCGTGATAGTGACGGCACAGCTTGGCCTGGTCCCCGTGACAGATGGCTCACTTGGCCAGAGACCTACATCTGTGTCGTCCTTCAGCTCCACCGGCCTCGCCTTTCCCGTGCGAAGGCTGCAAGAGCCAGCCGCTCTAGACTCCGGGCTCGTAGCTCTCCTGCCTCGCTGCCACGTTCGTCGCCGTGCGTCGGCCACACAGAGAAGTGCCACCCGGAAACCATCCATTGGAGTAATTTAGGGTACAATGCAGGGGCTGATAGTTGCAAAGGCAGAGTCACAAGGACGATATTACATCCTGGTATCTTAATCGTTGTGGGTGTTGGTGATTGGGCAGGAAGTGCTGACCAGAAAGACACCTACCAAATGTCATATCGACCCAAATGTTGCACTCCAGGAATTATGCGCGACTGTTTGTGTTCAGGCGAGCGGACGCGTGACGCTGCGCCAGAAACCGGGCCGATGCGTCATGTTTGTGAGTCACATTGAGTGGCGGCAGCCTTCATGTGGGAGCTCTCCCGTTGACGGTCACATCGACGCGGCGCTGTCCACTGAGTCAGAAATGTGTTATTAGAGACGGATTTTGACTTTGTTATTTAAAATAACCGGTGCGGCCGAAAAGTGAGAAATGTCTTAGTAACTTCTGTAACTGTTTTTGTGCAACTCAAATGTCAAAATGTCAAATGTCAAAAAGCGCAGTCAGTTTTTTAGTGAATTGGGAGCCAGATTGACGGCGGTTTTGTTTGGCCCTTTACAACTCCAACCAGCCTCACATGCAGTGCTGTTTTAACTCAGTGCTCCTGCGCTTCGGCCCCAAAAGGCAGGTACCACCCCACCGTCTAAACCCCTAACCAGGGATAATGCTTTTGTCGCTCGTCCCTGTAGTCGAGTTTCCCCCAACACGATTTGAAAAGTGGATGGCAGCGAGCGTTTCAGCTGTTCTGGCTGCTGGTGCTGCCCTCCAGTTGACCCCCATTCGTAGCTTCTGTTTGGAGTTAAAATGTAATTTCAGGTTACAGATTGTGGAACAAACACTGTCCGTTGACGCGATGAAGTGCTTCTTTCCTCCATTTGTATTAGTATCGGGCGCCTGGCTGTCAAGATAAGGCACTAGGGGCGTCTCGTTCAGCCTCTTCCCCCGCTCCGTTTCCTCGCGGCCCGGCTCAGCAGAGGTTAACGCCGTTAGCCACGCACATGCTGCCAGAGCAACCCGATGCCGGTGCTGGATTATCGCTGCTCAGCCCGCAGGCCGACGGCCGGGAAGTCTGGGAGGCTGTCTGAGGCCGCCTGACTTATGATGATCCAACCTAATAGCGCGGCGAGACAATTGGCCCACCTGCAAGCGTGTCCCCGCCGTTGCCCACTGGGCCCACCGCTGTCGGGCTAATTCGTGACTACATGGCTCGCCGTGGAATCACACTCATCTGGAGTCTCGCTCAATAAACAAATACTTGGCAGGACGTAGGTGTCAACTCTCAGGTGGAGCCGGGAGACGTACGGCTGATATTACCGTACTATTGGAATAGTCCATTACCAAAGCCTTTCTCAAACTTAACAGACTTCTCTTTCTGTGCTTTTCTTTTCATCAGCATCATAAAAACCCACATTAACAATGGGCTGCGTGAGAGGACGATCTCTAATGCCATTAGCGAAGGCAACGGCCTTTGATAGCTGTAATGAAGTGATGCTGTGTTAATCTACAGTGATTGATCCTTTGCAAGCAGTTTCTCCCGAAACAGATTGTCCATTGAGAGACTCTCTTCATTCAGTCTTGACCCACGGTTCGCTTCTAGCGTTCTTGGAAAAAGGTCTAAAATGAGATGGAGACACAACAACACAGTAATGTCATCAAGGTGAAATGATTTTGTATTACTTTGGCAACCAGGAAATAGTGTTTCCCCCGTGGGTGCTCAGTCACCTCCCTCTGCGAATCAGCGCCGCATTTCCATGTTGAAAAGATGTTTCTGATGTTTAGTCCTTCCGTTGCTGCCCGTAGGAGAGAGGTCAGACCATCAGCTGGATGAGAAGATCCTCCCTCGTCTATGGCTGATTTTTAAAAGTTGGAATCTCGGGGGAACCGCGTGCGTCTCCCAGGATAACCACCTTTCCGATCAGAACATCACCATTCAGCCAAGGCACTCGCCGTTTTCTCCCCGATCCATCAAATCAACGCCGGCCATCCAGAAGACCGGGATGTGCGCCGGGCTGCTCTCTTACACACTCACGCGTGCACACACACACACACACACACACACACTTGATTGAAGCATCATTGTCAATCAGTTATGAAACTAGACAGATCTCTTACCCTCAGCATAAAGAGGAGCTCGCACACACAAGCAGATGTGCTCGCACATCAGCTTCTGCTCCTGCCGGACCACTAACAGCAAGAGCGGCTCCTTTGGCTCCTTAATGGAAATTACCTTTTCAAAGCCTCCAGAGAGAGAGAGAGAGAAAGAGAGAGATGTTAACCTTGCATTGAAAATGGCATTAAAAATGGATCAAAGCAACCGAGCTTTGATGTTCCACAGAGGTTTCTCATTTAGACCCACCAGCCCGCCACCACCCTGGCGCCCTCTGCTGGGAGTACCTGGCGTCTCGCGCTGCCCCCCTGTGCGTCATCATGGCTCTGACCCGGTGGCCGAGGCGGAAGGTCCGCCTTGTAAGAACAATTACTGTGGATAAAGGCACAGTCAGAGAGAGAAGTGGGGAAGGGAGGCAGGAGAGACATAGAGAGGGGGGGGGGGGGCAAAAGACACGGCAGCTGGTTGTCTCATTCCGTTCGGTCCAATCAATGAGGTTTTGTTATGCAACGTGAGAGCTGACGTGGACTCTGGGGTTGTGTGTCAGGGGGAGGCACCTCTGGATGTGTGCTATTCCATCTGATGATGGGGGGGGGGTTGAACTTACGACCCCCGGCGGGGAGTAGAAAAACCTGGCTCCCCTTCTGTTAAGAGTCTCCCCCACAGAGCTCAACTTAAGCCTGGGAATGAGCACACTGTCCAAAGAGATAAATTACTTTTGGGATGAAGAGAGCGCTCACCTACCTGTGTGTGTGTGTGTCTCCAAGTTGTGTGAGCGGAACAGAGGCACCAAAAGACGGAGCCATTTTGCCACGTGTTTGTGTTTCTATTAGAGGGAAAAGCCAATTGCGTGTGCACTCATGCAATCCGTCTGTGGATGCACTGTGTGTGTGTGCGCATCCTTGTGTGAAGCAATGGGGCGGATGGGGGGGGGGTTGGAGACACAGATAGCGGGAGTGAAAAAAAGACATGTAAATAATTGACGGTAGACACCGCCTTGCATCTGGCGCCTGCTGCCGTCGAGCTTGTTCAAAGTAGATATTGACGCAGGGTCGCGGCGCTCTAACCTCATTACCACGTTGGAGGGGCAACGCTTCGGAAAAGGCCGTCGTGTTACATGCTACGAAAAAGAGGCAAAGGCTTTCCGCCTCACATCTTTTGCCGGATCTGCTTTTTTAACATGACTTATTTCGCCGTGTTATTTAACGGCGGGGGGGATCCAGCTGTTCCTTTTCGTCATGAGATGCTTTTTGGCGTTTCCGTGGCTTCTTTCTGCACCGGTGGCACATAGCGGCCCAAAAAAAAGATGTTTGGAGAGACTCGATACGTGGTTGACTTCAGTGTGTGTCCCCCCCCCCCCCTCATCCCCTATTTTCTCCCAGTTTGCCTCATTAAATCTTGTGAAAATTCTCCAACTCTTGTGGAAGAGACTTTCTTTTTATTAGGCTATAAACAAATGGGGGAGTTGGTTGACAAGACTGTAGCACTCTTTTGTGTTGCTGCTGCACTGTTGCCCCAAACCCCCTCCACACACACACACACACACACACACACACACACACACACACACACACACACACACACTGACAGGCCTGGCGTACTGCTCCCCAATGCCTTTATTCTCGCTTATTTCTTTCTCGCTTTTTTGTTGTTCCCTCATCCAACTCCAGCCCCCTCCTCCCCTCCGCCTTTTGTCGAACTAACCCCCCCCCCCCCCCCCATACAACACCACGCCCCCCCAACCCCAACTCTCGCTCTCTCTCTCTCCCCTTTTCATTATGCGCTCATCCCGTTGCGCTGGCCGAGCGGCTGAGAGAGGAGACTGCTTTGGGACCCAGCGCCAACGCCGCTGCTCTTTTCTCCAACAGGGGGAAAGGAAAAGAAAAAGAAAAGTGGTGTCAGGAGCTGCTCTTCCTTTTTGCCAGCACTTCCTCCTCACTCCCCCCCCCCCCCCCTCCCTCTCCCTCCCTCCCTCCCTCTCCGTATCGCCGTGTCTGGCTGCAGAGTTCGCTCATTGACTCAGTCCTCTCTGCTTCAGCTGGCTGCGCTGACACTGGGACCAGTGTACCTGCTGACTGGGGATTAGGCGCGCGCTCAACACCCGGAGCCTCGTTTGTTGTTTTGGCTGCCAGTGACGGGGTCGGAGGCGAGCGCGCCGCGAGCACCTCTGGACTCAGGACAAGACTGACTGGATGCTGGAGGACAGCGCGCGAAAGAGAGGCGACGAACCACAGCGAGAGAGAGAGAGAGAGAGAGAGACCCACCTCGGTCCATGAGAACCTCCACCTCTCCTGCTCTGGGTGGGATTCTCCGACGTGGTGCTGATACAAGGGAAGAAAGCCCGACACATCTCCCCCTCGAGCTCCTTCTCTGATTTCTGATCCCCTTTCTTTCCACCGGTTCATCCGTTCAGATCGTCTCCGTGCTTTTCTTTGTGGGGCCGGGGGGAGACGGAGCGACGGCATCGAGTGGGGATTACCTTCCTTCCCCTCTCCCAACTTTTTTTGTTCCTCCCCATCTACGCGCACCTCCTCTGACCTGCTTTTTCGGTGCCGGCGCACCGGCGGGCTGGGTGGGTGTGACAGGGGAGTGGGGGGGGGAGTAGCTGCTCCACCCGTTCCAGGAGATTGGTCCGCTGGAAAAGGTTATTGAACCGGAAGAGCGGCTGTCACTCAAGGGGGAAACAAGTGTGCGCTCGGGGGAGGCGGACTAGCGAGCGGCAGCCAGCTGCTGTCCGGCCGGCCCGCTAATCACCCCCGTCGGGATCGGAACGGACCGCGAGCCGAAAGGAGCCGAAAGGAGCCGCTCTGCAGTGGATACAAAAAAAACACAGGCAGTTGTGTTTCAGCAGCCACTTGGAGGCTGGAGACGAAGCTCTGATGGAAATACTTGTGACACGTGTCCACCCAAGCCCCCCCTTTTGAGTCCACCTAATTACCAGTCGGGGTCACTGGGTAGAAAAGAGAGGATTTCATTTGTGGATTTACTGTCGGTGTTTTTTCTCCCGGACAAGTGGAAAACAGGCCCACTTACCGATGCGCACGTTTCATCTCCCCACCCGCACATTCACAAACACATTACCACCGCCCACTTAAATCCACACACACGTGTTCTCACTGTAAGTATAATCCACTTCACAACACACACGGAAACGCTCACAGATTGAAAGCACATTACCCCCCACACCCACCCACCCGGAGGGAACAGCACATGAGTTGTGTGGACAGGTGGGGGGCCTGTAGAGTCCAACGTTTCTGTCCTCCCGTCTTTCCTCAAATGGATGTTATTATCTCTCAAAATGCGTTGCGTGGAAACCACTGAAAGCTTACTGCCCCCATTCTCTGACGGTTGCCGGGTCCTCGCCACGGTGCACAGCTGGAACAGCAGCTGGAACACCGGCCATTAATCGCCCCCTCTCCCACCCCTCTCTTTTCCTTTTATCTTCATCTTCGCCCTCGGGCCCTCACCCCGTCGCCATCATTTTTTCCAACGGGTCCTTGGGCGGCACCCCTCGTCGCCCTCCACGTCCCGCCCTCTCCTCCGCCCTGGAGGGGAGGGGGTCGTTGGAGTGGAGCATGAGCGGGTGCCACTATCCCTCGCCACCGCCGCAGGACCAGGACCGCAGGTACCAGCACAAGGTGTCCCTGGTGGTGCGCTACTTCATGATCCCCTGCAACATCTGTCTGATCCTGCTGGCCATGTCCACCCTGGGATTCGCGGTGCTCCTGTTCCTCAACAACTGTACGTTGGTTCAACTGATCACTCAGAAATGTGTCTTTGATACGGGGTCGCTGTTTGGCAAAAGAATACTAACCCTGAAACCGAAGCGACGGAAAAGTCGTTTTTGTGCAGAATTTAGGAGGGAAATGAATTAGTTTGCGAGCTGACTCTGCAGCCTTATCTGCACGTGAAGTAGGGCGTTTAAAGCCCCCCCCCCTCCCACAACCTTATTATGTGAGCGTAAAGGCTTCATATCTCCCATCGAAGGACCTGGCATTTACTTTGGGCTGCAAAGAGGAAGAATTAAATGGCAACGAAATGCCTTTGAGGGATGCGAAGCTGCCTTTTGGCCCCCGAAAGCCTCACCCCCTCCTCCCCCGCTGCATGTTGTGCGTTGTCAGTGGTGCATTGAGAGCGCGAGCTTTGCGGGGCTCAGTTTTGACAACGGCTGTCACGGTAGATTCTTGGGTCAAAGAGAGGTAAATGCTTGAGTGTATTTTATTTCTTTCTTCTGTTAAACCCCCTTCTAGGTTTCATTTCACACGTGTCAAGTCTGAAGGACTTATCCTACCTCTCAGAGACTCCGCCTGCCGTCTTCAGGCTGTGCGAAAGGCAACAGTCCCTCGGAAGAACTCTCGGAAGTGGGGCTATTAGCTCTGTGAGACTTGTGCCCCGCGATCATAAGAAAAAGGCCTAGTTATTGTCAGGTTCGTGGGTTGAAGTGCTATTCCAGCAGCACCGTACAGGCGGTTGATTCCTCTGACTTCGCACACAAGGCAAAGTCCCCTGTGGTATTAGAAGCACCTCTTTACACCACTTCTCTTCCTAGTGTCCCTCTATCACCTCCGTGGCATCGGCGCCACGTTATGGAATCCATTCCAGTCGTAGATCCAACGGAAACGCATTTAAAGAGGGACAAGCGCCGGCCCTCAGCGGGGCGGGGGGAAGGAAACGTGCGAGGAAGCTGAGGGTGGCGAGGTGCTCTTCTATGCTGCTGAAGCCACAAGGACAGCTTGGTGGTGGATAGTGGTCATAGCGCTTGCGGTGGTGACGGGGAGGGGGAGGGGGGGTCGGGAGGTGCGTAACCTCATATTCGTTTCATTGTCACCACACGGGGGGGTGAGGCATGTCCAAACACCATAACCATTACCGCCTGCCAACAGAGCCCACACACCGCGTGTGACTACACTCCAATAGGGGGGTTGGAGATGAGGCACGTTCGGTGTTCATCCCGCACATGGCTAAATGTCACCGCCGGACACGTATTGATTGGTTGGAGATATCGGGTGAGTGATGACATGCACACGGGCAACTCACGGGGCTCTGCCAGGTGCAAAGGGAGACGGGGAACGGCTGATGTGTTTATGGGCAGACCGTATCTTGTCCTTTCATTATGGAAATGTGACAAAATGGTTTGCGTCGCCCGTCTCTTTCTCTCTCTCCCTCCCTCTCGCTCTCCCAAACCCCCCCCCCCACTTCCCCGTCACCAGATGTAAATCATTTACCATCATGACTGACTGGGAACTGCTTCTGCCAACACTTTATTATTCACCCCAAGCAACAGTCTCCCCTCTCCTCGTTTACTTCTTCCTCTCTCAAACAGACCACCACCCACCACCAAGGCTCTGGTTTCAGTACACCTGAATTGTAAAATCCAATCTGCATCTTGGGAGACGTTTTACTGGTTCGTAAGAGGCTTTACGTTTGGCGGAGTTGCCTGGTAAATGGTGTCACCGATACCGAGAGACCATATGCTTTTTGGTTTCGTGTCAGAAAGCCATACGCAGTAATTCTTCCTACTGCGCTTGTAGCTTTGTATCATCCACTGTCCGTGGCATCCGTATACACCTTGCATGATTGTCAAGCTATTGGCAGATACACCAATACAGCACGACTCGAATGGGTGATGAATCGTTCAGCGAGCAGAGGCGGCCGGGTTCCGTCCTGTCAAATGTAAAGATTTGCTGTTCTCTCTGACGTTTTGGGGTTTTTGCGTTTGGTGACTAGCTTCATCCCCCATTTTCCTGCCAAACAAAGGCAAAGCAAACCGCCTGTTCTCTCTGCGCCTTCTCTTACATGCACTGGCAGTGATGGATCTACCTTTCCTGCTCGAGATCCACCTCGTTTTCAGGGGTCAAAGGTGTCGACAAACGGCCAAGAACTCTGGTTTCACGAGATCTCCCCCCCGAGAGTTACCCAATACGCAGACATCTGACACTACAGGTCTTGTTTTATGGCGCCCACCGACATTATGTCATCGTCTGCCGGGGGTTGAAGGGAGTAGCATGATGTCATTTGATATATTGAAGGGAGAGGGGGGGGACCGAAAGACCATCTGATTCATTCTACATGTGGTTGCTTTGGGGTGGGAAGCGAGTATGTTTTTCACTTCTGTTCTGTGTGTCTTCACCAGTGCGGGATTTAAAAAAAAACTCAGCAGGGGGGCTGCTGCAGCTCACTGCACCGCCCTGTGTTAGATAGAAAAGCCAGGCCTGTTGGTGCCATGTGTGTCTTCCTGTGTAGCGACTCAATTACCCTGCTCACACCCCCGGGAACTAAAATAAGACCCTTCCTCTTTTGTTTTATCTCTTTCAGACAAGCCCCCTCACTTCACGCCGCCCCAGCCTCCTGACGGTAAGTCCCCTCTCTTTCTTTCTTTTTCGTTTTTCCCGCCTCTTGCCCCCGTTGACCGCCGTACCTGCGAACGACGACCTTGGACGCAGGGCGCACTCCCTGCCTTCTGAGGAGGCGTGCCAGACCGTTTTTCTCTGGCTGCCTCGGCTCGGGTTGGTATGGACGGCACGCGGCCGGCTCTGCCCGGGGCTTTGATGTGAGAGGGATCTCTTGATGACTTGATTTGATCTCGCGCAGCACGGCTGGTCGGGCTGATGTTCACTACCTGTTACCACAGCGGCGTTCACAGCCCCTTCTGATAGAGCCTAATGGGATAATCCCCCCTCTCCTCCCCCCTCCTCTCACCTCCTCTCACCTCCTCTCCCCTTCTCTGGGGAGTCTGTGTTACCTGAGCCCGGAGCAGCAGCATCACGCCGTTACATCCCGTACATATCATCAATCTTTCCCCAATAGTTTTTAGCGGCTTTCTGGTCCCGTTAAAGGAGCTGTTGATTAAAATGAAAACATAAAGAAACAATTTATTTCCAAAACAGGGGATTGTGGCAGGCTTTAATTGGAGGAAAACATCTGTTTTCATGAATATTTGTCAGTGAGTGAGTGTTTGATTCCTGTTTTACTGCTCATGACAGGCAGCAGGGATGGACTCCCGCTAGATCTGAAGGTGTGTTATCGCCGCGCTGGTGGCAAAGAAGCCTGAAGTTTCATGAGGGGAAAACGGGGGGAGAAAATGCTTGTGATGATCCCAGCTGGCCAGCTGATGAAAGGGACACAAGGCCACAGAGGGGGTTTCTGGTAATTGCTCGGCCTCGTGCCCCATAGGGCAGCTTATTTGGACGAAGCGTTTCGCCAGAGATGTTATGCTTTAAAAAGAAAAAAGCCGGGATGGGAAAGTAACAAATTAGAGGCTGTTTTCCGCTGAATGTGATTGTTTGTCTGGACCAAAGCCTGCTCGCTGTCGATGGAAAATGGCCGCGGTGTTCAAGAAATAATTGTGCTCGAACACCTGAGGAGCGTGCTAGGATGTGTATTTCTGTGTCTTTTGTGCCTGGTACACTTTTCACATCCGCTATTTATGCTTTTGTTTTAGTAGCAAATTAAATTGAGTTGACGCAGGAATATAACTCACGCCAATGTTGCACTAAAAGGTTTGTCTCTCCACTGGTAAAATGGAAACAGTGTGTAGCCGAGTTCTGTCTCCCATTGAACACCCCGGCACCCCCCAAACCCTCCGCTCATTGATGCACTCGTTCCCCACGTATTCAAGTTTTTTGCCATCTGAGAGGCCCGGTTAGTTTTCGCGCCAGTCAACCATTTAAAAGCTGCTTCAAGGCCATAATTACATTTCCGAAGGTCCTGCAGGTTTTACATCAGCAGCCTACGATGTTTTAATATGCCAAGAAACACAAATGGAAAAGTCTCCAATCAGCGGTGTAAGCCGGCCCCGTGGGACGCCGTTTCTCCAGGTCATTTAACGCTGGAGAGATTAGTAAGACAATCACAGTTGGCCCAAATAAGACCGTAGGCCACTTTTTGGAGACGCCCGGTGATCTAGACCAATGGAGGGGCATCGTAGCATTAGTCAAATACGATCCAAAAGTTCTGCTGTACCTGCCCTCAGTGCTGCTTCATTACAGGAAATCATGCACAAGATACCCCAGGTTGGAACCTTTAAGGTAAAGACATTTATATAGAGGGCCTTTCGGCACAACATAGGCAAAACTATGTACAAGATGACTCGCAAATGGCTGCCGAATCCTCCCCATTGAAGTGACAAAAGTCACCAAGGAGCCTTTAATCAGGCCCTCTCTTAGAAAGCTGAAAGCAGCACTTGCTGGGCTCAGGCCGCCCTCATTATCGCCGTCTCCTGATAATGAGACAGGCGTGGCGTGTTTGGCCAAAGACCTCCGTAGCTGGAGGGATTAGCATTGGACTTTGGAAAGAGGGGTTGACAGCGAGCGACGCTTGATGAATGAGGCCCCCTCGTTGTCCACATCCAGAGGAGTCATGTTAGTGCACTAGTTAGGGGCTTAGCGAGGAGCCTTCAGTATTAAACTCGAGCCGTGCCAGATTTCAAGCAGAGATCTGCGAAAGGATTATTGCTTAACCAGGTTTTCATGCCGTGTGGCTTATGCCAGATCAAGCTGTATTTGAACAAGGACACAGAATAGATTCATTTCTAGAAAGACTTCAGCGGGCTGCTCCTCCAATTCGTCCCATCGCATCCTCAGGTGACTAAGCAGTGGGCAGACAGGAGAGCGTGATGAGGAACAGAGCTCCGGACAGTTCGCTGGTCCTCTGTGACTGTGGCCCGGCATCACGCGCCTGGCAGCAGCCGCAAATCGCTAAATTTGGCATTTTGTCACCGACAGTGTTCCTCAGAGGATGCTCCTTACCGACAGGCAAAATAAACTCCTGGACAGATGTTTGATCTGGTCTAAAATGGTGAGACGCCAGAAACAAAAGTGCCCGCGGTCTCACTCACACTTTGAGAGCAATACCTCTCGTATCAGACGGTAACTAAGCGCTGCGAACCCGTTGCCCCGTCGGATGTGGGAGGTGAAAGACACACATACACACACACACACACACACACACACACGGACACACACACACGGACACACAGACATACAACCCTCCTGTAATTTATTCTGTGTTCTTGACGGTAAGCCTAACTCGGAGAGCGGCAGAATAAATGATGGCTCCGCGGGCTATCTTAATTAAATCATTTCACATCATAGATTTCACACAACGGCGGCAAAACATCCACATGGTCTTTTTCGGGCGAGGCGGGGGCACCGGGGCTGAGGATGTCCCGCATCAAGATATCAAAGGGTTCACTGTAACGCTGCCTCTCCAGGAGCGCGGTTTCATTTTAGAACAGATAGCAGCTTGTTAGCCCACTGTTGGGGGGAGGGGGGAGGAGAGGGGGGGTTCAGCCTTGACTTTATCAACAACAGGATAGTTTGATGCCCTTTTAAAGTACACACAGCCTTCAGATTTGCGCTCTATCTCAGTCGGGGAAGCCTGTCTCGTTGCCTCAGTAAGTAGTGGTGGAAGCCAAAGGAGTCCAAAACATCCGTCTTTCACGGCGTTCTCACCCAGGACTCGCCTCACGTCTCCACGGCCTCCCCCCGGTATCGATCTGCCCAGACACGTTACAAGCAGAGGGAAAGAGAAAAAATAATTATTAGCCGCAGAGGCAGCGGTGGGCCGGCGCTGTTTGTCTTTCACTCCCGAGGACACGGAGGGATTGTTGACACTGTTAGGACAGCGCGGCGGCCTTTGATTTGTCCCCGAGCGACTCGCCGCCGATGGTTGGCGCAGGTTACTGCCGGACGGCGGACCTCGTGGGGATCAGCGGCTCTTCAGAGAGGAGTGATCGCGGGTATCGCAAGCTACGCTTCAGCTCCACGTTAAAACGTCCTCATGGCGCCCAATCGCAAAAATTAATTCATTCATTTGTGAATACGCTGCACACGCGTCCGTATTCAGGGCGACTTCTCATTTGCTAGTTTGCAGAGAAAGGACTCGAACAATGAAAAGTAACTCCCAGCGTGCAGAGGATCTGGAATGAAACACAGCGGATGATATTAGCGGGACAAACAGCAGCGTAAAACAGTCGACAGTACGACTCCACGCGAGCTAATTAATAGTTAGTCCATATCTGGGCGGTGCGGAGGGACGGGTGAGAGCCCAACGCCGCCCCCCCCCCCCCGGCCCCCCCTCACGACTCCCTCATTAATTGGACGTAATTACGGACCAAACATCGCTTTGAATGAGCACTCCATGTTGTTCGCATGTCGACGCGTTCCTTCTCATTAACGCAGCCGCAAATTATATTAAGTTGTCACTCTGTTTTTTTCTTTTTGTTGTCCTCTTAATCGGGGACGGCTAGGCGCCGATATAATTGTCGGGTGTCAAAAAAACAAAACTGGCTTAACCGGTGGGACGGGTTTCACTGTCGGGTCGTGCAATTAGAGGGAAATAAGTGGCTCGCCGTGTCGGCGCGTTGGCGAGCAGCATCGCGGCGTGATCCGCTGCCATTAGCCCAGTTAGTGTGTCCCCTAATTAAGGCGCTGAGGTCACAGAGCGCCGTCCCGCGCCGCGCACGCCGCGTGTGTTGCTGTTCTGTGCGCGGGCAGCGGCTGCAGCTGCAGTTCAGTGCTCTCTTGTTCTCTGTCGTTCTGTCACACACACACACACACGCACGCACACACACACACACACACACACACACACGCTTGTGCTCTCTGGTCCCCCCTTGCTTCTTGTTTTTCTTCACTCAGCTCGAGGCAGATTGCAGTTGAACCTCGTGGATGTGTGGACGCGCACGCAAAGACACACGCATCCCGTTTGGTTCCAACTTTTATGTGTGTCTGTGAGTCTGTTTATGTGATTTGTGTTGCTGTGTGTGCGTGGCAAATTTGTGTGCATGTGTTAGTGTGCGTTCCTTGGAGGCTCATACACGGGGTAGGCAGGAAACTATCCATTCCGAACCCCCCCCCCCACAACCTGACCCTGAGACACACACACACACACACGCACATGTGTGAATGTTAGAGAGACACACACACATGGAGGCACACAAACACACATTGTAATTGTGAGATACTAGATGCATGTTTGTGCAGTGTTTGGTGGGGGAAGCACTGTTACCCATACATATAATGGCAGTTGTCATGGGAACCAGATGTGCAGCTAGTGGTGTCCATGGACTCTCTCAGTAGACCCCCGTCCCCCCGCACACACACCCCCCCCTCCCTCCCTCTCAACTTCCATTCTGGTGAGCAGTCAGTTCACTGTTCGTATGGTGACTCCATCTGCAGCGAGCTGGAGTTCTCACCCGTCCTGTGAACAGACACACACGCTTACACGCACGCGCGCACACACACACACGCAGACACACACACACGCACGCCCACGCACACACACGCACACACAGTGGAGAGATTTTTGCATAGAGTGTTTGGTGTCATCTCCTTCCATTTGACTTCTGGACC